TCTGATCATTGTGATCTCTGTTCCTGTTCTCCCTCCTGAGCTCCAAATCAACTTATTCTTCACCAGCCTCTTCTAACATATCAAACTCAACATATCTAAAGCTGAGCCTTACTATCTGCCCCCATTCAAATGTCCCTCTCTACAATTTTGGCCCATCTTAGAGAATTAGTTAACCTATCTTTTAGGTGCCCAAACCAGAAGTGTAGGCATCATTTATGTTTAATAAATGTTTATTTGGGAATGACTTTGGTTTTATAGAAAAGTTGTAAAGATAATATAGTTTCCTTACACCCCCTCCCATCTGGTTTCTGTTTAATGTTAGTATTTACATAACCATGGTATATTGTTAAAACTGAGAAACCAACATCAGTACAAAACACCAGCCTTTGTTCATATTTCAAGTCTGCATCCCTACTATTCTGGTTCATCCCCCCATCAATTCTAACAACCTACTTTTGCTCTACATTTAATCATTTAATCTCTTCTTCCTCCAGTTTCTCAGTTCAATAAAGTAGTTGACCATCCATTCCTTCAGTTCTCTTAAAACTTTCTTTTGTTTTTCCACTGCTTATAGAATAAAGCCCAGTTGTTTGGTTTGACAACAGGCATCTCATACTCCTAACTAGCTCCTCTATTTCCTTTCCCTTCCACACCCCATAAAACCCAAGGCCCAGCTCTGTTTCCATGGCCTCAGCATTGACTTAGGATTTGACAACCATATACAAGTACCTGCTGTAAGAAGGGTAAGCACTACCTTGTGGAACTTTTCTTACAGTTGTAGGTGTGTATGTGTTTTGAATCAAGATGCTCTACACTCATTCTGTTTTTTTCTAGATTTTATTTCTAAAAATGCCAGCTGTGTCCTAAATTGGTTTCTTGAAGTTTGAAAAACCCTAGGAATGAAATGACTCTTTAACACTCCTGGCCAAACATTGCCCAGAATGGTCTTCCAATTGGTTTCCATCTGCTTGCAGGTGATTAATACACAGAAAACAATTTATTCCTTCCCAGGCTTAGGGTGGGAGGGGTCAGGTTGGAGAAGGGAGCAGCTGTTTTGCCTGAGGCCAGGGAAGCTCAACCTGGACTGGTGAAGGGCTGGGAAGACTGAAGGAACCTGAGAAGAGGAGGAGGAAGGCACTGAAATGGCTTGAGAAGATCATGGTGTTCCCAGCTGAGCAATGGAGGCTAAGCCTTCTCTGTGTAGAACCCAGAGTCCTGGGCTGGGGCTGGGGCTCAGTGGTAATGCACTTGCCTGGCATGTGTGAGGCACTGAGTTTGATTCTCAGCACCGCATATAAATAAATAAAAATAAAGATCTATCAAAAACTAAAAAAAATTAAAACAAAAACCCAGAGTCCTGTCACTATTGCTATCCTTACCTTAGTCCTTTGACAAGGAAACTGCAGCAGTGCTCAAGGGAGAGGAGGGACAGGAGGGACATTCTCCAGATTCTAGAAATCTGTCAGGAGCCAGTGTGTGAGGAGAAAGCCTGTACCTCACCTTCACTCACTCCCTCATAAGGCCTGAGGGAAGGAAGGCTTTCAAACACTGCCCTTATTTCTCCTAAAATACTCTGATCTTTTCAAAGAAAACAGAAAGGCATTTTCTTTAAGTGAGTATAGACTCAAATGCACAATTTGAAAATCATGTTGCTTACCCAGTCTAAATACACTCCATTTAATTCACAGCTTCTTACTTTGCAAAAAAGAAGCTATGTAAACCGAAGTGAATACCGTTTCTTTAATCACCATCTCCTTTTCCTCAGGGCTATACTCAGCTAGTCAGAGGCTAACACACACTGCTGAGACCTCATTAGGTGCTGCTTATGCTACTTACACGGTCTCCACACTTGCTTCCTCTGCACTGTTAATGATCCTGACCATATGCTGGTATAGCAGAGCCTTGGGGCATAAGGGGCTAGGAAGACCTGCTTTCCCTTGTAGGGCTCAGGCCTGTGAGTCTCTGCATAGGGTCCATGTGTTGCAGTGGAAATGAAGAGAGGGTTTTATCAAATTGATCTATGTAAGACCCACTCTGTGACATGAGAGACCCTAGGCAAGTTACGCAGCTACAATTTTTTTAATTCTAAAATAGGTCTTGCTGGGTTCAGTGGTGCACGCCTATAATCAGCTGTTCAGGAGGCTGAGGCAGGAGGATTGCAAATTTGAGGCCAGCCTCAATAACTTAGAAGAACTTGTCTCAAAATTTAAAAATGGGCTGGGGATGTGGCTCAGTGGTTAAGTGCCCCTGGGTTCAATACCTGGTACAAAAAAATATAGAGATAAAGATTGGTCTTGGTGAGGACTACCTGGATCTTCATGAGAACTACCTTGTTCTTTTCTTAGGGAAAGTTGTCTAGTATTGAACAGTTCTTGAATTCTAGCTTCTTCCTTGTTTACCAAGCTTTTATTGATTTGTTTATGCTAGGTATTTTATAAGTGTTAAATTCCTTTTGTGTCATTTTAACCCCCCAAGTTCCTATAATCTGAGATAATTTTAGTAGAAGAATGTCTCTTGCCAGGTCCTGGGCCTTGATTACAGCAGAGCATACTTCCACCTTCCCCCATTTATCCTTTTCTATGGGTGGGTTAAGGCTTTGAAAATTCTTGGGAAAAGAAGTCACATCTTTGGACCCTTATCCTGAAAGATAATGTCTAAACCTCATGTGCCTTGCATACCTTCATCTCTGCAAAGCATCCTCAACTTCTGGGCCTGACAGCATACTTGTAAAGACATGGAGGAAGAGTCATTCAGGCAGAGGCAACAGTGACTGCAGTGGCCCTCAGAGAAAGTCTGAGGACTAGAAATCCATGTAGGGCTGGGGCTATAGCTCAGTTGGTAGAGTGCTTTTCTGACATGCAAAAGGCCCTGAGTTCAATCCCCAACACTGGGAAAAAAAAAAAAAAAGAAAAAAAAAATCCATGTGGCTAGAGTAAAGTGGGTATTGAAGAGAATAGTTTAAGGTAAGGTTGGCAAAGTTCAGGTCATTTCAGGGCCTTAGCAGGAAGGTATACCAGTGAAATCAAACCAGTAGGGAGGCTCTTATAGACAGATATTGAGGGTGGTGGCAGTGGAGATGGAAAAATGGATTCTGAATCAGTAAGACTTAGTGGGGAATTGAATGTAGAGGAAGAATCAAATATGACTCCCCAGTTCCTGGCCTGAGCAGCAGGGTAGAAGGTGAGACCATTTGCAAAGATGGGACAGTTTGGAGGAGGTCATGATTTTTGTAGAGTCAAGTCCTCCATATTGGTCCCTGGAGTTCAGGGACCAGTTGGGGCCAAAGATGCAAATTCAGGGATTAGCATCCTACAAATGATGTATAAAATCATGGGATTGAATAAGATTCTAGTAGAGAAGAAGTTAGCTGCTAGGCATGATGGTGCATGCCTGTAATCCCAGTGGCTTGGGAGACTGAGGCAGGAGAATCATGAGTTCAAAGCCAACCTCAGCAACTTAGCAAAGCCCTAAGCAATTCAGTGAGACCCTATCTCCAATAAAATACAAAAAGGAGCTGGGAATGTAGCTCAGTAGTTAAGTGTCTCTGGGTTCAATTCTTGGGACCAAAAGAAAAAAAGCAGGGGCTGGGGATGTGGCTCAAGCGGTAACGTGCTCGCCTGGAATGTGTGGGGTGCTAGGTTCGATCCTCAGCACCACATAAAAACAAAATAAAGATGTTGTGTCCATCGAAAACTAAAAAATAAATTAAAATGAAAAAAAGCAGCTGCCAGCAAAGTAGACAGAATTGGAACCAGTGATGTCAGGGGAAATCAGGAGAAGTTGGGAACCATGGAGTGTTTTAGAAAAGAACAAGTGGTAAGCCGTGGCAAATGCCACTGTTAAATCCAGAAAAAAATCCTTTGGATTTGACATTGTGATCATCGATGACCATGCTAAGTGGATTTCAATGGACTATTAGGAACTGAAGTGGTTTGAGGAGAATTGGCAATAAAGAAAATGGAGGTAGGGGTGTAGCAACCTTTTAGAAACTCACTTGGCTGGGGGTGTTGCTCAGTGGTATAGTACCTGCCTAATATTGGTGAGTCCTCAGGCTCAATCCTCAGCATTGTAAATAGCAAAACAAATTTCAAATACAAAGGAAATAAATAGATGGGGAAAGGATTTATGTTTTATAAGAGATCCTACAAGGGGCTAGGGATATAGCTCAGTTGGTAGAGAGCTTGCTTCACATGCACCAGGTCCTGGGTTCAATCCCCAGCACCACACACACACACACCGAAAAAAAAAAAAGGAAGAAGAAGAAGATATGTGTGCTTGAGGAACAATCTATAGACAATTCAAGATTGAAAATGCAGGACAAAAAAAAAAAAAAAAAAAAAGATGCCCAAAGAGTGAAATCCTCAAGAAAAGAGTTAAATTAGTATTGGCCTGATAATTTCTCTCTCTCTCTCTCTCTCTCTCTCTCACACATACACACACACAGTCACCAGCATTCACACGGACACATAGAAACTTACCACCAACAGTCATGGCAACACAGTACAGACAGCTAATAGCCAAGATGACCCATTCACCTACAGGCCAGCAAGTCACAATAATACACAAACAGTATTCACTTGACACACACAGATAGCCAGATAGATCCACATCTGGACTCCCTCTCAGAGGTATCCACACCACCCACTCCTAATGTGTTCCCCATTAAGGACCCTTTCTTGCCCCAAATCCTTCCTAAATCCCAGGTTCTGCCTCTACTCAGTGATCTCAAAGGAGGGAAAGGCCCCAGGACTGAAGAAGGACAGGAAGGGCTTCATAGCCAAGGTCAGGTTTTATTAAGAGACTGAGGAAGCAATCAACTGTAGGGTGGAGAGAAACAGCAAACACAAAACCCTGTGATGACATCAGGGTGCCTGACATACCTTTCTTCCCTCCCAGCCCATCACAGCTCTCTGTGAGCAAAACACCCTCTCTGTCCTGGTCCTGGTGGTCCTCTCAGAGAATGAGCAGAAAACAGTGAAATAAATCCCAACTCACTGGGATAAGTAAGTTGTGCTCGACATTTTTAAACTTTCAAATTTAATTACATCATACATAAATAAATAGGACAAATAGCAACAGGGCTGTGACGCACAGCCTGGATTCAAGTTCTGCAAGTTGTGCTTTGTCTTTGTTCCACAAGGGCTTCTCCTGCCCTTTGCTTCAAGAATGGAAAGGGTTCACAAAGCCCACTGGGACCTCCTTCCAGCACCTCTTTTCTGGGGTAGGAGATTCTGGGATGAGGCTTACTAGCTCTTCAGTAGCACCTCTGATTTGTTAACAATGTCCTCCAGCTATTAGTAAAAGGCAGAAAACCTGGGCCCCTAGGAGCCCACTGCCGCCCAGACTCCCTAAAGGGTAGGGCTCTGCTCCTCAAGCCAGACTTTTTCATACCAGTTTCCTGTCCAAGCCCTTTTTAGCAAAGGTCAGACAATTGCACACGTGAGACATACCTGGGCTCTTACCAACAGACCACCTCCCTTGCTCCTATCCAGAGCCCTAACTGGAGTTTCTGGATGAATGTTCTTTTTCTGGCCTGACTCTAATCCCACCTTTTAGTCCTTTCAGGGCCACCTTAGGAGCTAAGTCTCAACTCAGGGCTTGGGAGCCCCTTAGGATGAATGAGAGATTCGGTTATTTCCGATGTTTGGCATCCTTCTCTGAAGCCTTGGTTTCACCATGCCCACTGCCTGCACTGGTTAGAAACATCTTGTCCAGTCCCTTGAGTGACTCCAGCAGGTAGTTCTGGAAGGCGGTGAGGGCAGCACAGATGGCAGGCCCTCCAAAGCCGTGGGTGATGAGGCTAAAGTGTGTCAGGCAACTCTGCACTCCAGGCTCCAGGATGAGTGCTGGGCGGCTGTTGCCCAATGGGGAGCGATCCTGAGCCATCAAGTCGGCAAACTCCTTGCAGATCTGCCTGGTGGAGGAAGGAAGGTCAGAAGTTAAAGGACAAGGCTCTGGGCCCAGAGAAGAATCTGTGTTCTGGGTTCTTAGATTACACAATTGCTTGCCTCTCCCAACAGTCTACAAATGATGATTATACTCATTTCACAGAAAAGAAAACCAAGGTTCAGAGAAGTTAACCAAGTAGCCCAATATCATACAGCCAGTAAACAGCACGTGCTCCACGTACTGGGCTGTGCTCTCCCTGTGGATGTCCTGACCACATTCAGAGCTCAGCTCAACTTCTTTCTGCCTTATTCAGAAAACTTGCCTTGATCCTCTCAACTACCCCAAAAACCCAGTGCTTCACGGAACCTTGTCTTTTGAAATTATTAGGGAACCACAAAATTTGCCTTACACAATTGAAATATTATCTAACAGCAGAGATTGAGGTCAGATGCTATGCCAAGTACACTATATACATCATCTAATGATTTTTAAAACAAATCTATACCTGTCATATGGATAAGGAAACTGATTTCAGACAGGTTAGATGACCTGTCATGGGGACTGAGCTGGGATATGAGTCCAACTCCAATCTGCAGACATTATCCATTTCTCTGTGCACCCCATATGTGGCTCAGGCAAGAGGATCAGTCATCACTCTTCTTTGTCACCATGGAACCCAGGCAGCATCTTAGACATTACTGGGACTCAGGAAGCACTTGGTATGTGAACTGATTCATGAATGAGGTGGAATCCACCATAGATGGGCTTTTTTTCCAGTACAATATAAGCAGCCTCCCAGGTCTCTCTATTTGGTAATCCCATGAGTCTGGTTTCTCTTCTAACTAGGTCTGAAAGTAATGAACATGGTGCCCAAATAGACCCACCTGTGGTGCCAGGTATTTCTGTGCATCATGCAGGAGTGTGCCCATGTGACCCTAAGCAGGGAGTCCAGATGTGCCTGTGTGTGGTGCAGTGTGCCACGTATGTGTTCATGTGCTCACAGTTTGGCCCACTGTGCCCAGATCTGAGGTCTGTGTCTGTGCATTGCACTCCTGACAGCCTGTGTACAGTGCCCTCACTCACTTGGCGGCCAGCAGCATGCTCTTGCGGCTGTGCAGTTCCCCGGGGTCAGCGTGCTGTCGGCACAGGTACTCAGCAGCTGCTTTGGCTGGGAACTCAGTCTCACAGACGTAGCCAAAGTCTCGAGCCAGGTGCACAGCCTCTCCTGTGGGGATCAGAGCTGTCACTACTACCAGGTGTGCCTCTGAGCCTGGAACCCAGCCTTGAACCTCTGACCCCCTGGCCAGGGGGCAACCTGCCCCATCCCGCTTCCGAAGATACCAACTTCTGAAGATACCTGCCTCTGATTTCCTGTATCTGCCCAGATTTAGCCTCAATTCCATTACCCTCTCTTGGGACTACCAGGGTTGGGCCTGGAACTTCCAGAGGCAGAGCCCAGAGTCATTGACCTCCAGGGAAGAGGGCTGTCCCCCTCCCATCTACGTACCACATCCAAACACTGGCTGTGCCTTTCCCTACACACCCCACAAGTAGCTCTCCACTGCATGAGCACACATATTCATAGATGTGCAAGGTGATATAGTATCCTCAAGGGACTGGTTCTAGGATTCCCTGAAAATGCCCAAATCCATGGGTGCTCAAGTCCCTTACATACAACGGCACACAGTATCTGCATCTAATCTATCCATATCCTCCTGTATACTTGAAATTATCTCTAGATTGCTTGTGATAGCTAATACAAAGTAAATAGTTGTACTGTATTATTTAAGGAATAAATGACAAGCAAAAGGTCTGTTCATGTTCATTAGAGGTAGAATATTTTCCAAACATTGTCAAACCATGGTTGGTTAAATTCTCAGATGGAACCCACAGATACAGAGGGCCAACTGTGCACACATATCACATACACACCGTCTTACACATGACACAGAGATACTGCAGTGCTTACGTGAATACACACATGACTAAACACACCCTCCTGCATTAGAGACAAGTCATGCCAGGTGACACAGACCTCCTCACACTCATGCTCAAGCCCACCTTCAGTTCTCACTCACCCTCCACCAGTGAAGTCAGCAGTGTCACATTGGCAGCCTTCCGACGGCCAGCTGGCAGGTTGAGCCCAATCTTCTCTAGCCTTTCCCGTAGACATCGACCCCCATTCTTGGACTTGGCTCTTGATATGCAGAGAGAGAGAGACAGACACACAACTATGAAGACAAGAGAGAAGCCTGTGGGCTAAGTGATCCTTACAGGGCCTTGTTGCCTGCACCAACCCCTGTTGAGGCTTAGGTTTGGCTTTGGAGATTCTCTAGGGTCTCTTAGAAAGATCCCAAACTCTTTCTAACTTTACTGGTTTTGCAGTCAAGATTGGCTTAGGGGGGCCCAGAACCTGGCTCCAAGATTCCCTCACTTCTTCCCAGTCCTCAATAGCCCAGGGTGGGGAAGGGTAATACAGGGCAGCATCACAGGATCCTTTTCCCCACCTTAGCACATTTGTTGGGGATGCACAGATCCACAAGAGACACAGGGACATAGACAGGGAGACAAGGTATACACACACACACAGTCACTCAGGACTCAGACTCACAAACACATAGATGAGGCACATTGAGGGCCAAGAATACAGAGACACTAAGAGATACACATGCAGAGACCCAAGACAGACCCATGATAACATCAAATCAGGATCCCAGAGACATATGTACAGATACTCAGTCCCTCCAGGAAGCTCAAATTATCCAGGAATATAGAGACACCTCTACAAATGTGGTGCCCACACAGAAGTACAGGCAAGCAAACATACATAAAACTACCTGCACATGCACATGCAATCACACACACACAGAATAGGACACACTCTAGGCCACACATTGCCACTTAGTAACAGGATGCTCACATTAATGGAAACATATACTTCTAGCCACCTCCTAACTCACAAACACACACATCCTGAGACTCATCAAAACTTATAGCCCTGAAGCAGAAATACCCTTCCCAGGCACAAGGACATGCAGAGAAATACACAGCAATGAAGACAAACTGATAACTACCATGCTCCCATCCCCAGCACACATACACCAGTGAGGTCTATGCTACAGGGCCTTAGGTGCTGGGGTGCCTTTTGGGGGAGGGGGGGTGTAGATGACACTCTCTCTTCCCCAGACCCAGCCTCGTCCATTCTTTCCAACATGGATAAGTCCTTCATGCTTTCTCTGTGGCTGGGCTTCTTTTTCTACCTACCACCACAATCCCAATGGCCTGTGGGAACTGCTGGGGACCTGGGTCTGCCTCCCAGCACATGTGTGATCTGGAGTCCCTGGGCCTTCCTCCTCCCAGGAGACTGAGTGGGGATGATGTTTTGGGTAGGAGTGAGGCTGGTCCCCTTTCGGATGCCCTCAGAAGGTCTGAAGAAACCAGGGATTGTGGGCTGTGCAGTGGTTGTGGGTTGGCCTTCCTACCTGCGGAGGACGCCCCCCAGGAGGGAGGCGTTGAGGCACTCAGGAGGTGAGAGTCGCCGCTGTACTTCCCCCACGGTCACCTTGTACTTGGATGTTGAGCTGAGCAATGAAAGCCGTCCAGGCACGGAGCAGAAGACCTCACTGGGGTTGGTGATGCTGCCAACCAGGCTGTCTTTGGCCAAAGAGAGGGCCGAAAGGCTGCTGGCTTTGGAGGGGATGGGGACTGTGGAGTGGAAGCAAGGGAAGAGAGAGTGGGGGACACTGAGCAGCAGCCACAGGTCAGCCACCAGCCAGCTGGGGAGCAGGCACATTCCTGACTCACCAACCATGCACCTTGAGAGACCCCAGTATCCCTGCTTTACAAAGGGAGAAACTGAGGCACGCTGAGGTTAAAGTGATACACCAAGTCCACTCAGCTAACAGGTGTGTACCTGGACCCACAGCTGTCTGGCTGTTGAACCCATGTCCTCTAAAGTCCCCAGCATGGTTCCCTCTTTAAACTCAGCTTCAGCAGATTGCTAGTGTTTTGGTGGGTGCCATCAGAGAAGGAGCTGGATGTGAGGAAATGGAGTCTGAGCTGGACGTATGATTCCTGGGTCACCACAACAGGATCATCCTGTCTGAGCAATCACAGAGAGTCTTCAATACATTCCCACCTCCTGAGATCAATGAGAGGGTTGGGAGCTTCAGACTGCCCCCATCCTGGGGACCAGGAGATTATAGACCTATTAAGCTTCCAGCCCTGTTCCCCTTCCTGTTAGGTCACTCTGGGATGCTGTAGGAAATGAATAAAAAAATCAACCCAAAAGTGCCCTTGCTTGGATACTTCTTAATTATTTATGAAAGGCAGGGAAGGGAAACAAAAGTTAATCCATTTTGCCCGATTGTACCAGATGTGGAACACCTACAAAAAGTTAAAAATAGCCAAGGAGTGGTGTTGCACACCTGTAATCCCAGCAACTGAGGAGGATGAGGCAGGAGGATTGCAAGTTCAAAGCCAGCCTCAGCAAAAACCCAAAACAACTTGGTGAAACTCAAAAGAAAAAATAAAAAGGTCTGGGGATGTGGCTCTGTGGTAAAGCTCCTCTGAGTTACATCCCCACTACCAAAACAAAAAAATAAATAAATAAAAATTAAATGTAATATGTAATACAATCACACGGCATAATAGAGTTATGTAATAGTATGAATATAATTACATGTAATTTAATAATTATAATAATACTAATTAATATTAATACGGTATAAGATTATTAATATTATTAAGATTATTAATAATATTAATAAGGTATAAGATCTAAATCATGACTCCCAACATATTTTAATGTACCTGTGTCAATTTTGTTGAAATATTATCAGAATTTAAAACTTAGAGGTTAATGGATTAATTTTCTAAAACTCAGATACTCTTGGCTCTAAAAGAAAGTTCTTCCCAAAGTGTAACCTCCATCTTCCTGCTTAACTGCAGAGAGAAGGGAGAATACTGAGGCACTTGCTTCTTCAGAGGAACCCCTTAGGTTTCTGTTCTTTCAAAGAACTGAAAGCCTCAAAAGACAAGACTGTGTGTGTGTGTGTGTGTGTGTGTGTGTGTGTGTGTGTGTGTAATAGGAATCAAGTGAGGAGTCTGAGGTTAACAATTACTGAGCACACACTATGCTGTATGTTCACACAGATAACCCCCCTGAGTCCTTAGAACAACCCACAAGGGAGCTACCCTTATTCCCATTCTACAGAGGAGGAGGCTAAAGCCCAGAAAGGTGAAGTCAGTGAGCCACAGATCACTTAGCTGGTAAAATGAGAACCAAAAGCCAACCCACCATGGTCTCAAAAGCAGTGCCCTGAGCCTTTCCACCATGGCTGATGACCATGCTGTATCTTGGGAATACAGAGGTAAACAAGGCTAACCCAGTTAGCTTAGAATTAGCTAATTCTGCCTAGCGTGGCAGAGCCCCTCACCCTCCACCCTCCCTGGATGATATCCCCATCTTCCACCCAGCTGCCCAGCCAACACCCTCCGCACTTCTCTGGCTCACGTGCCCATCTACACCATGTCCTACGGTGTTCGCATCCTAACTTGCCTGGGACGCCGCCTCTTTTATGCACAGACAGACATTTGCTCACTTCCCACCTGAATTTCGTCACAGGCCTTGCTGGAGTGCCCTGCTCTGTTGCAGAGGGATCTTTCTAAGTCATGCATCACTTCACAGCCTTAAGCCCATCAGTGGCTGGACAGTTCCCTGAGGATCAATCCCCAACTCCACAGCTGTGCAGAATGATGTCACCTGCTGTCAATGAGGACCAACTATATCCCATATGCTGTACATGAACAGCTCTGAGGAGAAGAGCTGATGTCCATATCCCATGTCAAAAGGAAGAAATGGAAAGTTCAAAGAGGTTAAAATGGCCCAGCAAGGAAGGAGCAGAACTCACTCTGTCTCCTAACTCCAAAGCTCATGTCCTTGACCACGGTGCTACAGTGGCCTCCTTCACCCTTCTTGGTGTTTTGGCTCCTGCCTACTGGTCTTGCCTGGTCCCCATTTGTCCTCCAGGCCCTAGATTCACATTGGCCAGTAGAAATATAATATGAGCCACATATGTAAACTCCCAGACCTGCTCATGTGTGCCTGAGAATGCTTATCCCTAGGTCCCTCTTCACCTGTGCCCCTGTGCCTTGAGGGGACTTGGGACGATAGAACTATTCTATAGCTGGATTGTTTTAGTGGTCTCATGACTACTTATATATATATATTTGTCAAAACTCACAGAAATAGACATTTAGAAAGGGCCAACTGCACTGTATTTTAAAAAATAAACCTACAAATTGATCAATTAGCAATAAAAAGGACAAAGTGACTGTCCTTCTTCCCATCTCTCCTAGTCAGAGGGAGGGATCAGAGAAACAATTTTTTTTCTCTCTTCCATCCAATTGTTATTAGAACTGGAATCCCCTGAGGCCAGGCCAGTGACAGGGGAGAGAGACCAAGGCTTTGTGAAGCTGTTTGTGCATGTGCAAATATAGGTATGTGTCCCAGAAGTGACCATACACAAAATTATTTGCCCTTGTCATAGAGCAATGAGGATGAGATTGTCCACGTGTACACACACTCAATACTCAACCACAGCTCTGTATACAGACACAGTCTCTGCCCTCCTTGAGGGTGACCACATGCATATGGACACACATAAGTGCCTTATCCTGTCAATGATATATTTATGCAAACTAGGTGCAGCCATGTGTGTGAAATGGCAAGGGACATATGTGTCTACGAATAACAGACCTTGCTGTTTCCCCTGCCTGTCCCTTTTCCTTCAGAACCTCTTTCCTCAAAAACAGCAAGAGGGATGGAGTCCAAGATTAGGGAAGCTGGTGTGCTGGGGAGGGGGCCGTCATGTAGCGGGGAATTAAACTAGCCCAGACTGCAGAGCAGGGACATTGGTGGTCTCCCACACCCACAGGACAGTTCCCACCACAGTGACTCCTGAAGCTGAGATGGTCTGCCTGTGGTGTGCCCCTGGTCACACAGGCAGAAGCCATTCATGTACTCCCAAGGCTCAGAGCTGATACAAGAGCTCTCAGTTATTCAACTCACATACCCAAGTCACACTCTATCCACAGGTGGTAGATACAGTCTGGCTACTGAATCTGGGGGTGTGCAACAGACTCTCAGAAAGCTTGTTAAAATTGCAATTCCTTCTAGAACAAAACAGAGGAGAAAAATCTTCATGACCTTGGGTGGGGCACATAGTTATAACACCAAAAGCATGACCCATAAAAGCAAATAACTATAAATTGGATTTTGTCCAAATTCAAAATTTGGGGGGCTGGGTGGTGGCTCAGTGGTAGAGCACTTCTTGCCTAGCACACGTGAGGCATTGGGTTCAATCCTCAGCACCACATAGAAATAAATAAAGAAAATAAAGATATAGTGTTCATCACAACTAAAAATATTTTTTAAAAAAAATTCAAAATTTTTGTCCCTCAAAGGATATTATTAAGAAAATAAACCACTGTAGCACAGTGGTGGAGTGCTTGCTCTCATGTGTGATGCACTGGATTCGATCCTCAGCACTACATAAAAATAAATAAACAAAATAAAGATATTGTGTCCAAGTGTAACTAAAAAATATTTTTTTTAAAAAAGGAAAATAAATGGATGAGGTATCAGGCTAGAAAAAAATGCCTGCAAATCATATAAATCTGATAAAGGATGTGTGTTCAGAACATATAAAAAAAAACCCTCTTATCTCAACAAGATAACAACCTAGTTAGAAAACAACAAAATATGTGAAGACATTTCACCAAATATGATAGATGAATGACTAATAAACACAAGAAAAAGTGCTCAACAAAATTAGTCATTAGAGAAATGCAAATTAGGCATGGTGGTGAAAGTCTGTAATCCCAACTACCTGGGAGGCTGAGACAGAAGATCACAAGTTTGAGGCCAGCCTTAGCAATTTAGTGAGACCCTGTCTCAAAATTAAAAAAAAAAAAAAAAAAAAAATATATATATATATATATATATATTTATATAAGACTGGGGACATAATGTGCTCAATGGTAGAGTGCCCCTGGGTAGTACAGTCCTCAAGAGAGAAATTAGGACTATATTAAGATACCACTAGATGGTTATAACAAAAGACATACAATATCAAATGTATTTGAGGGTGTAGAGAAACTAGAACCCTCTTGTACTGCTCGTAGGAATATAAAAACTTAATAAAGTTACTTCATTTATTTTTATTTTTTGGTACCCAGGATTGAACCAGGGGCACTTAAACACTGAGCCACATCCCCAGTCCTTTTTATATTTTATTTAGAGACAGGGTCGTGCTAAGTTGCTGAAGCTGGCTTTGAACTTGTGATCCTCCTGCCTCAGCCTCCCTAGTCACTGGGATTACAGGCAAGCGCCACCTTACCCAGCCAGTAAAGCCACAAAGCCAGTAAAGCTGTTTTAGAAAACAGCTTGGGGGGCTGGGGATGTGGCTCAAGTTGTGGCGCTCTTGCCTACCATGCGTGAGGCACTGGGTTCGATTCTCAGCACCACATAAAAATAAAATAAAGATATTGTGCCCACCTAAAACTAAAAAATAAATTAAAAAAAGAAAATAGCTTGGGCCAGGTATGGTGGCACACACCTGTAATCCTAGTGACTTGGGAGGCTGAGGCAGGAGGAATGAAAATTCAAAGCCTGCCTCAGCAACTCAATGAGGCCCTAAGCA